GGGAGTTATCTTGTCCTTGGCCCATTTCCCTTTCTCCTTCTTCCCTGCCACAAGAAGTGAGAAGCTTACTCCACCATGGCTTTCTACCATATACTCCCTCATAACAGGTCCAGAACAAAATGGAGCCAGCTGACCATTAACTGAAACATTTGAAACCAGGAGCCAAAATATATTTTAACTTCTTTAAATGGTTTTCCTCAGGTATTTTGTCACAGTGAAAAAAGCTGAGTCAAACAATTTTCCTCTCTACTCCTAGCCTCCCCTCCCACCTCCTCTCTTGTCCTCTTTCCTCCTTTCTCCTCTCATTCAATCTCTTTTTTTTTCCTTACATTCATCTACCCATTCACACTCCCCGACCCAGATCATGTCTGTATCTGGTGGCATGAATGCTTGCTGGCATTCCACACTGAAACATATTCTCCTGTTAGCCAAGTTCATTTCAGTTGGCTAGTGCATATCCCATTTCCTAGTATATTTTTACAGTTTGGAATCCTAAAAGAGTTTTCGGAAGCTCTCTGTCCTGTCCTCTGTTAATAATTTCTGCTCCACTGTGCACTTCTCAGGGTGAGGGAAATCTTTTTTTTTAAAACATTTACTTACTGTCCCCCCTACCCCAACATATATTTGTGGAATGCTCACAGATACTTTGCCAAAAATGGATTCTGTAAAAAAAATATAAATAAGTTTGGCAAATATTATACCCTTCCCTGGAGCCAGTGAAACATGATTCTCCATGAGGGTGATGCATACAGTTTTCCCCACCTCTTTTTACTTTGAGAGGGTTGCTGGTGGAATAACTCATAGGATCAACATTCTGTGGAACTCATCCTGGGAAGTGCTGGTAGGAACTGCTATGGTTGGCTCAGCCTACTGTGTAGAGCAGAGTTAGTACTCCACAATGTAAGGTGAATGAGTAATTAACTTCATGGCTCTCGTAAATATCTAGCTATTGCTGCCAGACTGCCTTACTTCCTATCTTTTGATGATTATACACACATACACACAATTCACACATGGGCAAATACATACATGTACACACATATGCCCACAACCCTTCCATCCTAAAGTGATTCTGAGTGGCCCGACCCAAGAGTTTTCAAATTATGTCCATGGAAACATACTGTTCAATATGGGGTATTTATGGACTTTTGAGTTTTCATTTTCCTTAGAGTTTCTTTTTCTCTTTGTAATTTAAAAAAAAAAAGACAGATTTACACTCTGATGTCGCATACCAAAATTAACGACAATAGAAAGCATCATCATGTTAATTCATCTGGTCGGGTAAACTTATTTTATGCAGGTCACAGGAAAAAAAAAAAGTCTCCCATCATCTTTGTTTCATTGAAGAGGATGTGGAGACTGAATCAGGTGCTAACAAGCTCATGTTACTTGCAATGACACAGCTTGTGTTTCAGGATTCTCTCAACCTTGTACAACTGAAACGAGTAACAAACAAGATACTAGGTAATGCAGGTTCTACAACTATTACCAATAGCTCCTCGTTCCTTTTGTTGGTTCTTTGTAGTTATACATAACAGCAGAATTCATTTTGATATAATCACACAAGCGTGGAATACATCTTATTCTGGTTACAGTCCCATTCTTATGGAGATACATGGTGGTGGGATTCATTATGTCGTTTTCATATATGTACATGGGAAAACTACATCAGATCTAATTTCAAAATGTTGTATTTATCAAAAAAAACCTTCCTTTTTTTCACTGATGAACTAGAAATGTAATGCAGTGCATCTTATATAAGGCATTCTAGTGATAAAATAAAAAAAAAAACTCGCTTGTTTATGTATTGCAGTGCTGTTTAATCTTTGTACCCTCAGCACCTAGAAAGTATTTGGCGAATAGCCTGGTTCATAAATAGTAGCTGAACTGAAATGGCAGTCGAACAGAATATGGAGTGAAGAAGGGGTCAGAAGGGGATCATTGAAGTATTCATGACAAGATTGTCGAAAGACAGAAGGAGCGACAGACTGGAGTAATCTATGGTTCCTCTTCTCTGGGTACTTGGTGAACCGTGAGGGGGCTGCCCCCAGGCTAGAATACTCTCTATAACCCTGCCTCCACCCCCAAACCTGAGGTCTTCTAAAGGTGGGAGTGCTGTAGGTGGGTGCAACCCACTGGACAGACCACTCCTGAGCTAAGGGAAGTGGAGGGAAAGAGATGAGGGCCTTGAATTTGGATGGGAGTAATTTACCAAGCAGGGTGGGGTGGGAGTCACTAACGATGTGTTAAAATGCGACCCGCCCCTTCATGAAATATTCACCACCTTAAACACGTCTAATATTAAAGATTAAAAGTCCTGGGATTTGTCCTCGAGACTCCCAGGACTGATTTATGATCTGCCAAAAGCCGCAGACCTCATGATTCATAACGGGAGAGGTAAAATGGTTACTGTGGGCAACAGAACAGGAAGCCAGGCTCCGGTGGCAGGGCCGAGGCTCATCTCTCCCCTATCAGTGGCTCTGCAGGTAAAGGCACAGCTCCTTTTGGGGAACATTGGCGACAATAAAAAGTCTGTTTGGAAAAAGGTCCTGCTACATTTTTATTTTCCTCATTTCCTAGGTGTGCTCACTAAACCACTTTTTCTTGGCTAGCAATGGATCATTAATTACTGTCATTCATTATTCAACAAATACGTATTTTTTTAAAAATGAGAAGTATCCACCCCAGGAATCCCCATAAGGCTGCCTGGAGAACAGGAAATAGGCAGAAGGGAAAGCCCTCAAGTGCTGGGGACAGGTGATGGACTGGTGTTCAGTCTTCACATTCTCTCTGGGAAGTTGTGTGGCCTTGGGGAAGCTGCTTCACCTCTTTGGTCTCCGTTTTCTCATATCTAGAATGGAATTGATAGTAATGTCTCTTTGTCACAGGACTGATGGAAGAAGAAATTATAATAGTGAAAAGTATATCTCACAGCTCCGGTAGACAATGAGTTCATGGTTAATAAATTAGTTTCCACCCCTTTACCTTTAATTCCAAGATGGCCCCAGGGTTTTGGTGTATGTTCACATATTAACTCTAGGGACACAAGTAATTTCCTTCTCTATGGGCCTCAGTTTTTTCTCAGCTGCACACCAAAAGTTTATATTAGATGTCCTTCATTTCTGAGCACACCAAGAATCAGTTTTTTGCATTACCTTTCTGAATCCCTAACTTATGTTCTCTGGACACAGTTTTAGCCACAGCTGAGATCATTCTTAGCAGTGGGCTGGGTATCTCTGGCAAGATCTCCATCAATGCCACGGCTATTGGCTTTATTGACTCACATTTCCTATTTTTATGACTCAGCTAATTTCTCCACTATTTGCAACCAAGCATTTCCTGCTCTAAGATGCTCTAACAGTCAGAGCTGAGGGTTATTAACCCCTTTTCTTGGTGACTCCTTTCTCTAGCTCTGTCTCTGCACCCCCAGGGCAGCCAGGCTGTTGAGGAACAGCTCTCCTGGGACAGCATGCTGACTGCGAACCCCTTTCACCACAATGAAAGATCCTTTACAGAAAGTGTTACACCCACCTGGTTCACCATCTCATCCCAGCATCTGCTGCAATGCCTGGTACACAGCAGGCATTCCGTAAACAAAAGCTAAATAAGTGAGAGCACATATTTTACAATAGTAATGCCTAATGCCAGGGAAATGATTTTTATTTGCCCTTTCCCTCACTAGACTAGAACTTCTTGATTGCAGAAACATTTTCTTAATCATCCTTATCTCAATGAAGAGTATAGTACCTGATGAAGAGTAGGCAACTCAT